ACAGGTAATCCAGGGCATCTGTTCTGTCGAGGAGTTGTCCGCTGCCAGAAGGATGAGCTCTGGGAGGACGTGATCTTAGTGCCTCCGTCTGCGTTGGGTGTGATGAGTTTTGTTGCGATGTGGAGGCCATATTGTCGTGCAGTGGGGTGAGAGGAGCCTTGCAAGGCAGTGGGTAGGGAAGGACGTTTGTCCACCAGGTCTCTTGGTGGCAGAGCGTTCTCCTGAGGTTGTACTTGTTGCTACGCGAGTCCTGCACTGGGGTTGTTGCTCTCTCTGGACTTCCGAAGCTGCCATCAGCGTGGAAATTACTGCTGAAGCTCCAGGCTTTCCTGGCAGTGTGGTGAGACGAGGAGAGACCATGAGATGTCAAACTGGAGAAGATTTTCTTGCGCTGATGGTGGTCGTCTCGGGTACTGTAACTTGGACCATCCTGAATGGGAACCTGAGTTCCGATGCTGCGTGACAGTCGCGTCCATCCTGTAGGTCCTCTCCCAGAGATCGGGATGTGTTTGAGGATAACAGCAGTTGTGCTGAAGGAGCCGTTGTAGGAAGGGCTGCCCTTGGGTGAGACTGCAGGGTGGGTTTTGATAGGGAGCCTGGGGCTAGTTCTGGTTTGAGATGGAGGCAATTCCCGTGTGCAGGAACTGCTCCGAGGATGCAGTGCTGCTTCAGAGAGCAAACCTGGGGGGAAAGTAACTGTTAAAGGCCAAGAGCCCTGTGTCGACCAGGCTTCAACCTGGGGACATCAGAAGCACTTGCAGAGTGGGGACAACAAGTCACAGCACCCAGAAAATGGTCTTTGCATCGTAGATGGGCATCCCTGACAAAAGGGAGCCAAACCCACGAGCTTCCCGTTGCGGAGGCTGGGAATGCTCTTCTGCTCCTTGCTGCTGGCCCTTTGGGGCTGCCCGAAACCCCGAGATCCAGGGAAGGTGCCATCCGAGGGTTTGTGACGCCTTCCGAGGAAGGGTTTATGGTTTAGCGTACCCAGCTACCGTTTGCTCTGCCCTCACCACGTTTGGCAGAGCAGTAACTTGACAGTGGTAGGAAACTCAGCATAGCTGGCTCCAGGGCCTTGCACAGGTTGGTGTTTGTTGCGGTGGGGACGCTCGAAGCAGGACATTCCATGGCAGCCGTGACTCTCACCCCAGCGTTTGCGGCTCCGAGACGGTGCCGAATTCCGCGCCTGGAAAGCAAAGCGAAACAGCACGAGCCACGTGTTTTTGTAACTAGTTTTAGCCCTTACCAGTGCGTCGTGTGTACTTGGAGCGCGCAACGTTACGTCACGGAGCAGCAGTTCCTGTAAAGAGCAAGTTTCTAAAAAGTCTTCGGGAAATAACCCAACTCTGGTTGGGCCCCGACAGCAAGAAAAGCTGTTGCTGGTTGGGTCCCCTCCGAAGCTCCGGCTGGTGGCTCAGGAAGCAGGAAGCCCACGTGGCGCCCGGAGCAGCCGGGATGCAGTTTGAGCAGGCGGCTCTTTTCCCCCGTGAACTTCCCCCGTGAACTTCAGGCGTGAAGCAGAAGGGCTGAGGAATCTCCCCGGTGAGCTCGGTGCAAATGTGCTCAAGTAGCAAAGCAAAACTAGGCAGTTGGGGGGCTTTGGGGTAAAAACCCAGCAATCTTTCGCCCTTGTTTGCAAGGGGTGCTGATGCCAAAGACGTAAGCGCCATGATACCTGGAGGTGCAGGGGAATCCGTTAACCTTCTTGGCCCAAGGAGGGTTGCAGAGGATATTTCTTTCCAGGCTCTTCCTTTTCATGCCATGACCCAAACTTTCAAGATTGGCTAATTGAAAACACCTTAAAGCCACCAGTGGTTTGGAATGGAGACATTCTTGCCCTGGCTCGGAGTCCACTCCAGGAGGCTTCTAGCAGAACCAAATGTCTCCTAGCTCAGTGGACAAGGCAATTCATGGCTTGAAGTTTCAGTGTGACTGATGGCCACGCGCCTGGTAGGTGCTCGGGACTGTCATCTGTGTCGTAACGCAGCCCTCGAGGGCAGAAAGTCGAGCCCGTGAGTTAGGGGCACTGTCATCTCGCTGGAAGAGGCCGAGAAAAGCAGGTTGTGGCTTGCACGAGCGTCAGGAACGGTGCAGCCTTGGGCTGCGCGTTTCTCCGTGATGGAGGAAATTGGGCTCTGAGGAGTCCGGGTGAAAAAGGAGCCGAGTTTGTGCCGGCCTCAGCCCAAGCGCCGCTAATAGCGACGGGGCAGCAAATGGCACCGGTGACTCCAATATGAGTCTCTGCTTGTTGCGCCGTGGCCTTTGCCCGGAGTTTGGGAGCGCCGGAGCGCGGGCAGGAGCGCCGGGGAGCCGGGGCTGCGGCG